ATTTGAATAGACTGATGCAATGGTCGGAGAAGTGGCAGATGCAGCTAAATATTGACAAATGCAAAGTTCTAAATGTTGGACAGTTAAATAACCATGCCACATATAAACTAAATGTAGATCTTAATACTACTGATTGCGAAAAGGATTTAGGAGTTCTGGTTAGCAGTAATCTAAAACCAAGACAACAGTGCATTAGTGTTCGCAATAAAGCTGACAGAATTCTTGGCTTCATAACTAGAAGTATAAATAATAGAAGTCCTCAGGTTGTTCTTCAACTCTATATATCCTTGGTTAGGCCTTATTTAGACTATGCTGCTCAGTTCTGGTCACCGTATTACAGAATGGATATAAATGCTCTGGAAAACGTACAGAGGAGGATGACAAAGATGATCCCATGTATCAGAAATCTTCCCTATGAGGATAGACTGAGGGCCCTGAATCTGCACTCTCTCGAAAGGCGTAGAATTAGGGGAGATATGATCGAGGTGTATAAATGGAAAACAGGAATAAATAAAGGGGATGTAAATAGTGTGCTGAAAATTTCCAGCCAAGACAGGACTCGCAGCAATGGTTTCAAGTTGGAAAAATTCAGATTCAGGTAGGATATAGGAAAGCACTGGTTTGGTAATAGAGTTGTGGATGAGTGGAACAAACTCCCGAGTGCAGTTATTCAGGCTAAAACGCTGTGTAGTTTTAAAAATAGGTTAGATAAATACATGAGTGGGTGTGGGTGGGTGTGAGTTGGACTTGACTAGCTTGTGCTGCTGGGTCTGGTGCAGTGCTCCATCCTTGAGTTTAGGTGACCAGACTGGGTGGGTCATTGGGCTAATCTGGGAGGGGGGACATGGACCTGCTCCGTATGGGTCTGTAGGCCTGTTGCAGTGTTCCTTCTTTCTTATGTTCTTAAGATTTCTTGCTGTTTCACCTACATATATTCTCTCGCAGCCTCCACAGGGTATAGTGTAAACCCCTGCATTGACTGGTTCGTGGTGCTTCAATTTTGCTCTAGTTAGATCCCTTGTAGAAGTGCTGGTTACGATGGCGACTCTAGTGTTAGTGCGAATACTTTTGAAACGTTCAATGCAACTTGGCTGTGGGGAAGGATTATAACTGTTGGGATTGGTGTTGGTGGGTGTAGAATTAATGATCAAAAGGGCTCTTTCCTTGCAGTCTTTGATGAAAAAGGTTTGGTATATGTGCATTCTTTATCATGAAACTCTGGACTATAAATTCGGTATGCTCTTAGGAAAAATCCAATGATGATGGTTCGTTTGGCCTTAGTATCTTGACTGGAATAGAAATGAGATCATTTTTGTTTGTAGGTTTCCGGTAAAATTGAAACCTTAGATTGTCTACTTTGTTAATGAGGATATCTAGGAAACGTAGCTTGTCCTCGGACTCTTTTTCTAGTGTAAACTGGATAGCCAGTTCATCTGCGTTGAGCCTTGACTGAAGATTCAGTACATCAAAACGTTTAGGAATTATTATGAGGACGTTGTCGACATAACGTAACTAAGTGACACTGGTGGGGATGATGATGGCGAGGTGTTCAGTTTCCAGGTGTTCCGTATACAAGTTAGCTAAGACGGCGCTGATGGGAGATCCCATTCCTATACCAAAGATTTGTTTGTAGAGCCTGTTGTTGAAAGAGAAGCAATTGAAGTTAATGCAGAGTTCAATCATTTCAACGAAATCTCCGGGAAGTAGAGGGTATATAAGCCCACGTCTTGTTGCATGTGCTTCAGATTCATGAAGACTACGGTACTGAACTCCTGCTCATAGGGCGAGGGATTGATTACCTCATCTTCTACCTCTTCAGTCCATTGTATTGTACTGATGTTGTGCAAGAAAGGTACACAATACCGACAAGACGAAAATTAAGACATATGTACAACATCTGGGTATCTTTATTGTAGACGTTTCGCCATCCAGTGGCTTTATCGATACAAATTCAAGAACATAATTTGAAGACAGTAGAACTATGTACAGAAGATGAGGTAATCAGTCCCTCAACCTTGGAGTTCGTGTGAAGAGCACCGTAGTTGTGAAGATTCTGGAGCACAAGCAAGGAGGCTGCCGCTTTTATACTGACGTCAGGTGGTAAGGGACGGGTAGCAGACGAGAGCATTGTCACTGGTAGGCGGGATTCCCCAGTGGAAGTAGGTCAGACCCAAAGGGATGGGTTAGTTGTAGTAGCTGTGTAGATGTCCTCTGAACCAAGATTTCATACCCATCTCTTTGGGTATGACCTACTTCCATTGGGAATCCCGCCTACCAGTGACAATGCTCTTGTCTGCTACCCGTCCCTTACCACCTGACGCCAGTACAAAAGCGGCAGCCTCCTTGCTTGCGCTCCAGAATCTGGAGCACAAGCAAGGAGGCTGCCGCTTTTATAGCTGACGCCAGGTGGTAAGGGAAGGTTGCAGACGAGCATGTCACTGGTAGGCGGGATTCCCCAGTGAAGTAGGTCAGACCCAAAGGGATGGGTTAGTTGTAGTAGCTGTGTAGATGTCCTCTGAACCAAGATTTCATACCCATCTCTTTGGGTATGACCTACTTCCATTGGGGAATCCCGCCTACCAGTGACAATGCTCTTGTCTGCTACCCGTCCCTTACCACCTGACGCCAGTACAAAAGCGGCAGCCTCCTTGCTTGCGCTCCAGAATCTTCACGACTACGGTGCTCTTCACACCAACTCCAAGGTTGAGGGACTGATCACCTCATTTTTTGTATATAGTTCTACTGTCTTCAAATTATGTCCTTGAATTTGTATTGATAAAGCCACTGGATGGCGAAACGTGTACAATAAAGATAACCAGATGTTGCAAAGGTCTATAATTCATCATAATAATGGTGCACTAAATGACTTTGTAGCACTGTGTGACAGATGACAGACCCAAGTAGTGAAGCTCAACAGGACAAATTTTAAGGAGTAAGAAGGGGCTCCATAAGATTATTACAGCACAAATTGTTAACCAAGTAGTTTCTTACCGACTTGTATCTGAAGGCAGTACATATAGAGGAGGCAAAGAAGGTAGGTAGCTTCTACACTCACAAATTGCCCTTACTGGCATAAAGACTTTAATTAGGATATGGGAATTTGGAGAGAGAAAAAAGGTTAAAGAGAATATGAAGGGATTTGCCTTTGGTTAATAATTCTTTAATATCCTCCAGATAGAGGAGTGGAACTACCTTGATTCCTTCTACTTCTGCTATGCCTCCTTCGCTACCATCGGGTTCGGTGACATCATCACGGTTCAGGTAAGGTTGAAACAGAGTGGTCAATCTTCTTCTTGGTTCATGTATATGATAATATTCAGCTTTACATCACAATCATTTATGGAAAAAACAACTAATTTTACTGCTAACGTGTCATAGCCTCTCCTGCAACGCCAAAAAAATTGAAACATAATAACCTAATTTCTTTAGTCATGTTCGGCTAAAAAATTGGTGTTGGATACTTAACTAAAGTTACCTTTTTGGCACCTGTTTAAACTGCTAGTCTGGATGAATGTATAAGACGTAAAAATGTTGTGCTGGCGAGGTTATAGCATGAAAATGAGAGTCATAACAACGGAGTTTGTATAATTAATGCTTTTATCTCCAGTCTTTCGCAAATATAAAAATATATGTATGGAAATTGCATGTTTCTTGTCGGCAGAACTTTCTAAGATCTGATTTGTAATGTGATTTAAGTTGAAGCCTGAAACATGACATGTTGGTCTATATAGCTGCTAAACCTTCAATTGCTACAACCTTAATCGTATGATTAATTTAATTGTAGTCTTTTAATAGACTAATACTCAGTCTGTTTTATACACACTTAAATGTAGATTAAGTGACCTAATATTACGTTAACTTAGCTATAGCCTAAACAAATTACAATCGTAATTAGGTAATTAAAATTGTAATTTGTGCTATAGGCAATAGGTGGGCACAACCTGGCGGTGTTAGTTAGGTGTCTTGTAGCTCGATCGCTAGCCCACTCAGCTTACACACTGACGTCAGAGATCGAATCCCCAGTACGGCTGGGAAACATTAAGACGTGTTTCCCTAAGACACCTGCTGGCCTTGTTCACCCATCAGTATAAAATGGTACTTGGGTGTTTCCCACTGGTGTGGGTCGCATCCTTGGATAAAACTGACCTAATTTCCCCGAAATGCTCAACATAACAAGCGACTTTCTATACATTAGTATGTCATTGATGTCAGCTAGGCCTGTATACCTCGTACATGTAATGGAAGAAATAGATATTATTATTATTATTATTATTATTATTATTATTATTATTATGTAGAAGCCCTTGTCGTGTATGGTGATGAGCTCGCCCTGTAACGCCGGGTTGATAGTAAAACAAGCGGCCTAGGAAAGCGAGGGCGATTCTCCCCCAGTTGTTACACTATTAAGCTTGAACAATGAAGGCAATTACGCTACATTAGTCACATAACATATTACGCTACATTAGTCACATAACATATTACGCTACATTAGTCACATAACATTACGCTACATTAGTCACATAACATATCAAATCAAATCAAGTTTATTCTCTATAAAGATTACAATGTGGGGTTTACATATTTTAGGATATATATTTTTTTTATTACACTATGACAAATACAGAACCCAATCCAGGATAATGTATAGAGAACAAATATGGTACAAAATTTAAATAAATCTAAACTAATTTAAAATCTTCAATGTCTCCAAGCTTAATTTTTTGTTTCTAAATCTCTAGAAATGCTTTTAATTTAAAAAACAATAAAAACTAATGAAATCTTTATTAAAAGGAACATTCCAAATTTTTTAAAGTTTGTATTTGTTTGCCTTTTCCCACATGCTGGATACAATTTGTTTTAAACCATAATTTAGATTAAAATTTAAGAAAACAGGATATTGGCAAGATTATTTAAAACCAAAAGAATGCTAGGTCGTATCCAATTGGGCCCATGAACATAAGCAGTGTATTTGGCAAGACCAAAAATATTACCAATAGGCTCTAAGTTATCTGGGTTTTCTGTACGTGTATGAAAGTTACGTGATTTGGTACACTTAGTATCTTAGACATCTCTTATAAAAGGCTATGAAATGCTTTATCAGAAGATTAAAAAGACTAGGAGCAATAAAATTATTTAACCTTTAGCCTCCAAGTTGTGCCAAATGCAAGAAAAACTTTCCAGTTAATTCTTATCTTACAAAATATAATTATGACTTCTATTCACGAATACCAGTGCCATAATTTGCACCGCCTGCCTTCACTAGTTCCTGGAGGAAGGCTTCATGATTCAGTTCATTAGCACTCTCCAATGTCAACTCCACTGCAAAGTTTGACAAAACTTCTTTTACAAGAGCCTTGTCTGTAGACATCTTTGCTTTCTTTATTGGAGACACCTCTGTCCCTACCCAGGTCACCAATAGGAACTTTGACCGCTTGCTCATCTCGTCTCCTGTCTGCAGGCGAATGTATGCAAAAGCTCTCTCATGTCACCAAACTGTGCCCTAAAGTCTTCAAATGTCTCGCCCTTTGCAGACACTATGACTTGGCTCCCATCATACTTGAACACTGCCCAGTTACACTCAGACTTGTCGTCACGCACTTCACTGTAGGCATCCCGCAGACCGTCCCGATCTACCTGCGTCATGGCCATTACCTTCACCATATTTGCTGATTTGTAAAATATTCAACACAAATAATAGAGTTGTGAATTATGATCAATAACTGCTGGGTGTGTCGATATAAATAGGTGTAGAGGACCTGGAGGCTGTGGCTATGGCGGCGCCGGCAGTACAACGAAGGTGTAAGAGCAAATGAAGAGACCGTGTACCGTCGCTGCTGGACGATACTACACTGACTCATACCCGGCCTCACTCACCCCTCCTGCTTCACCCCTCCAAAAGCACCCTCCCACACTCATATTTTAGGATATTGTGTGGTTTACATGTTATAAAATACTAATTACAGAGGAGGCCACTATCACACCTAGCATGGCTAGGCATTTCGGGCAGACTAAGATTAATTCATAACTCTAAATTATTACAGATTATGGAGCAAGTTGGTATTAAGGCTAAGTAACTACATTACAGTTTGTAAATTTAGCAATGTGAATGCTTTTGTTTTGATCAATACATAATTTCTATATTGGAGTATCCCCCAAAAATTTTCCCGGTCGGGGTTTCTAGTTCCCCACAAATTTTTAAAAACCTTGCTTTTGGGGGCCTTTGGGGGTCAACTCGGGAAAAAACCATTAGTTTAAAATGCACTTTTCAAAACAACCATACCCCGGGGGGTTTTTCCCCGGTAGGGTTAAAAACTCCAAAATTTCGATTGCCCCAACCCCCAACCCAAAAAAAGATTAATAGGAAAAATTTCTACACCTGAATTAAAAAGGAAACCCGGGTTTAAAACTCCCTTTTTTTTTACAGAAACTCCAGCTACGTGCCGTGACGAACTCTATTTCAGCCCCCTTCAATTGCCCTTTAAAAACAAAATTTTGTTCACGTGTGTATGTAACCTTCCATGGTGTAAAATAAAAACCTAGTGGGAAGGACTTATTGGCTGTGGAGGGCTAACGGACGGTGAGTTTTTGGGGAACTCTCGACCGGGGGTTTTCTCCCGGGCCAGGTTGTTTGAATGTGTCTTACATTTCGAAATGGTGGTTTGCGGGGGAAATTGCCCCGCAAAATAATATAAGTTTTATAAATAACGGGGAACTAAAAACCAAAATAAAAGAAAAAAATGAAAAAACCTATTTTTAATTTAAAAAAAGTACCCCAGAGGGAAGTTACCCTTAATTTTATATAGTTAATAAAATACTATTCATTTAAAAAATTGGGGGATATTCCTAAAATTTTTTCCTTAGTCTGGTAAATGGAAATTCCATGTTTAAAAATTGTTTTTGGTTAAAATTTTAAAATAGAAAAGGGTAAGTCCTGTTTAATTGTACAAGTGAATGCATAATAAGTAGTTTAAATTCATTGGGGAATTTGTGATAAAAATTTAAATCCAGAAATTTTTCTGAGGAAACCAACCATGTTGTTAGAGAAAAGGGGAATAAATGTTTAATTTTTTTGGAAAGGGATTTCTGGTTTTGGTTTTTTAACTTGGGGCCCTGTTTTGTTTTGTGTCCAAACAAAACCCCAAAAACCCCAAAAAAAAACCAACCCCCCCCAAAAAAACACAAAAAAAACCCCATAAAACCCAACACACAAAACAAAAACAACAACAAAATATAAAAAAAACCAAACAATAAAAACAACACCAATTAATTTTCATCACACACACACACACCACACCCCACCACACACACAACACACACACACACACCCACACACACACACACACCCACTCATCACTCACTCACTACACACCCCAAAACACACACACACACACACACACCACTCACTCACTACTCACTCACCAACACACCACACACAAATACACACACATGCCGTACAAAAAGGCCCCTATCAGCCCCACGGGGGGCCAGGAAAGACATGACACCTAAGATAAAGCGCGGTCCGAAGAAATGAAGGTTTTTTAATCAGAGATTCTAACAGCCAACTGCATAGCAAGGGACATTGGCCGGAAAAAAACAGCCACTGAAAATAAAATTTCAGATAGACAGGGACTAAGGCAAAAAACATGTCAATGGAAGGAAAAAAAAATCCCTCAGAGGACGCAGATGGAGACTCAGGGGAGAGGAAAGGGGCGAGGTCAGTTTTTGTGTAGGGGCTCCAAAAGCCAAGGGGGCCAACTTTAAAGAAAAAAAACAGGAGGGAAAAAAATGATTGAAGGCATCAGAAAAATAGGGGGGGGGAAAATATGACCCAGGTGAAAAATTTTCAGAAAATTTGGGTGGTTTGGGCGAGGAAGGATCGGCTGCGGAAATTTAAAGGGAAAAATCATTTCGAATCAGGATTCGCAAGAGAAAGCAAGACTGAGGGAAAAAAAGGGGGGTACCAAGAGAAACCCTCGACCGCGACAGAACACAAGAAAAAGGACTACACTAAAAAGAGAGGGAAAGACCAAGGGGAACGAGAACAAGAAAATGAGCAGGACCCAACACGGGAGAAGGGCAAAACACCCCACAGAATCTCCCCCCAAAAACCCCCCCGCGACACCCCAACGAAACTGAGAAACCTTACTAAACCCACTCACTTTTCCCCCTCGCCCCCAAACCCCCATATCAAAAACCTCCCCCACAGCGTCCCTTATGGGCATTCGCCCCCACCCCCCCAACACATACCCCACCTACACCCAGCCCCATTAGGCCCCCCCCAAGGCTCCGCTCCCCCAACCCCAAATACTTGCATGACCACAATGATAGAAAAGAAACAAAAAATTGGTAACAAACGCGGATGGAATAAACGAATAAACATAGGGGGTGGAATGAAAGGGGAACATGAAAAATCCCCAGACTCATAGCAGCACAGAAACAAAAAACCCCTGAGACAATAACGACACAACTTCCCAACAGGGTATCAATCCGAGGAAAGATGAAGGATAGAGGGGGGGGGAGGGTTGCACTGCCATAAAAAAAACCCCCTGGGGGAAAATTTGGGAAAAGGAAGGCATGGACATGATTGGGGAAAGAACACATTGTAGGTACAATTCAGTCCGGAAACATAAAGTAGTCATTGGGTATTATAAACCCCCCACAGAATGCAGGAGGGCCCAAAAGGGGGGTACGAAGAAAACAAAAAGGGTGATGGTGGACACACTGGGTGAGGGGGCAAGAAGAGCTCACCGAGCAGGCAAATTTTCTGGTAAAAAGGGGGATTTTAACCCCAGGGAGATCGACTGGGAAAACTTGGGCCACATGGGGGTCCCGAAAAATGGAGAGCCGATGAGGATGTGGACTTGAAACCCCATGCATCAAATGTCAGGGACACAACCAAGAGAAGGGGGGGGGATGACCAGCAGACGGGTCTTGTGTTCACCCGAGCAGTTGACATCGAGGGACACACTTTCGAGAGGCCCCTTTGGGGCTAGCGATCATGTGGTCGAGTTTTGATTATAGTAAGTACAAGTGGAGAAGGGAACAGGAATGAAGGGGACAGGCCAAACTAAAAAGGGGGACACACAGGTATGAAAACTTTCCCGCAGAGTTCAGTGGGACAGAGAAAAAAGGGAGGAAAATCAGTAAACGAATGGGAATATGTGGCAACAAAGTGCAGGAGGCAGAGGAAAGTTTTGTTCCCAAGGGAAACAGAAATAATAGGAAGACCAAAAAGAGTCCTTTGGTTTACCCGAAGGTGTGGGAGGCAAAAAAAAGTGCAACAGAGAAAAGGAAAAGGTACAGGAGGCATAGGCCCAGGGAAAAAAAGGAGATTTGTAAAGAGCCGAAAAAGAGTATGCGCAGATAAGGGGGGGGCCCACGACAGTATGAAAACGACATAGCATCGAAAGTAAATCGACCCGAAACGCTGTATAGCCCCAATTTGGGGGAAAACAACAGTCAAAGGCCAGGTGATAAGGCTGAGGAAAGAAGGTGGAGAACTCACAAAAAACGATCAAGAGGTATGTGAGGAGCTCGAAACCCAGATTTAAGGAAGTATTTTCAGTAGAGAAAAAAAGGAAATTGGGGGACAGACCAGATTGGGACCCAACAAGGAAAACACCAAAAGTGTTGGACGACATACAACAGATGAGAGGGGGTGAAGAAAAAAGCTAAGGGACATCGTACCTCAAGGCAAAAGGACCCGGACAACTCTCTCCCTGGGCCCTTTTGAGAGGGAGCAGAATTTTGTGCTACCACTTACCCCAAAAATTCCACATCCCTGGAAACTGGGCAAAACCTGAGGGTTTAAGCGGCAAATGTATTCCCTTTTTTAAAAAGGAGACAGAAAAAAGGCACTAAAAATGACCCGTTCATTTCGGTATAGTATGCAAAATTATGGGGAAAATTACAGGGGGGAGTGGGGGAGCACCGGGAAAGGGGAAAAGGAGATAAATGCCCAACCAACACGGATTACGGGAAAGGGAAATCCTGGGGTCACAAACCTTTGGATTTTTCGATAAAAATAACAGAAGTAAGACAAGGAGAGGGGGTGGGTTATTTTCATCTTTTTTGGACTGCAAAAAGGCCTTTTACACAGTTCCCACAAGAGATTGTGCAAAAAAGCACAGGGCATATAACAGGAAGAGCACTGCAATGGATCAGAGAAACCTGACAGGGAGGCAACAACGGTCATGGAGTAATGGTATACGTGGGCACCTGTGACGAGCGGGGTCCCACAGGGTCGGGCCCCAGGGCCCGGTATTTTGGTATATGTGAAGACATGACGGAAGGTTAGATCGAAGTGTCCCCCGTTTGCAGATGATGTGAAGTTATGAGGAGAATTAAATCTGTGGGACCAGGCGGACTTTAAAGGACCTGGGGCAACTGGGCACCTGGTCCGCAAATGGCTTCTCGAATTTAATCCGCCAAATGCAAATCATGAAGATAGGGGGAAAGGGGACAGAAGACCACAGGCAGAGTATAGGTAGGGGCCAAAGAACTGAAAACCTCACTCAAGGAGAAAGATCTTGGGGTGAGTATAAAACCCCGGGATGTCCCCGGAACACCATCAAAGATAACTGCTGCAGCATATGGGGGCCTGGCAAACCCCCCCCCCGAGAACACATTCCGACACCTTAGTAAGGAATCATTCAAAACACTGTACACCGTGATGTCAGGCCCCTACTGGGTATCACACCTTTTGGGCCCGCACTTGATAAAGCACGTCAAAAAACTAAGAAAGTACAAAGGTTTTCAAAAAGGTTTG